CTCCGGGGTGGAGCTGGGGATGAGGGATTCGGAGTGCAGGAGGGGGCTGCGGGTTGAGACAGGTGTTGGGGTGCAGGAGGTTGACCCCCTGCCTAGGAGCCAGACCTGCTGGCCACTTCTGGGGTGCAATGTGGTGCCAAGACAGGTAGTGACTAGCCTTCCTTAGCCCTGCAGCACCACTGACCAGAGCTGCCAGGGTCCCTTTTTCGACTGGGCGTTCCGGTCGAAAAACAGACACCTGGCAACCTAGCCATGGGCCACAGGCAACATAAACATTCCCCTCTAGGCCTATGCAGGCCCTGTTTTCTCTCTCTACAGATCAGCGATAGGCACACTCCAACCCCCAAGTCCTCTACGCATCTGCCTGGAGTGCCCAGCCCTGGTCCACTGAAACTCACAGTATTCACAGATTCACTGCTTCCAAAGAAGCAGGACACCCCAGCGAGTCAGTTTCACCTCAGATCATTGTTCTGCTTCACAGCTCTTAGATACCCTTATACTGCAAACAAGTAAAAGTGAATTTAACAAAGCAGAGAGATTCAAGTCAGAGCAGGCAGAAGTATTGGAAACAGATGGTGACACAGAAAATCAAATCATAACATACATTCTAGAACCTAGATTCACTTACGAGACAATTTCATGTCTTACAGCGTAATGCTCACCCAAAGTCCTTCCAGCCTTTTAGACCCAGGCTTGGCTACGATCTTACGCTCATTAGACAAGTTATACTGCCAGCTTCACCTCCTGGGTGAAAGATTCGGAATGTCTGTTTGTACCCCCAGAAATATCAGAACAATCCATTGTACTATCAATATGCAAGACATCCCTTGCTGGTTGTTTTTTTCTTGTATACTCCTCTCTCAGAGATTTCACAATCTCTTAATCAGCATCTGTCTCAGTATGCAAATAGGCATACATTATGAGGCACACAATACACAATGACCAGATGGGAAATAAGCATCTGTTACCCCCTGCCTGAAAAGAAACTGTCTGAGAATGTCACCTCCTGCCTTAAGAACAACATTTTCAGGATAGATACATAACTCCTTAAATATTGTCTGAACATACATGTCACAGTGATTATATTAACCAGTGGGATACTGGTTCTTGGTAGATACCTCATGTGCCACCTTTTAATGAATTATTATTGCATATATCTGACCCATGTGATCCTTAGAAAATCCTATCCTGGAGACTCTGCAAGTTGGCATCAAAAAGTCCCCGGGTCACTTCTCTCTCTTTACTCCCCCTGCCCCGGGGAGTGGGAAGAGAGCCACAAAGGGCCCTCTTTCTCCCTCTCCTAGGAATGGAAGAGTCACAAAATTAATGCCTCGAGTAAAACAAACATCAGCTACGTTTGGTATCAGAATATGACGGAGTATTTTCAGCTGATGTTTGCTTAGCAGGCATTTGGGTTTCCCATTCTCACATCTGCTACTGTTCAGAACAACTGACCAGCAACACATTTGGCCATCTGCCTGGCCAGCACAGCCAGCACGTAACCTTTGAACCAAACACCCAGGAAAAACATTTTTACCGTGACTCTTACAATGCAAGTGCATCAGGGTTATACTCCGGTAAGGTCAGCATAGCAGGTTTTAGCCTGAAAACTATCACATTAAAAGTAGACAACATAATAAAACTACCTTTTTCTTCAGATGACATGATGGACACTGCAAAAGGTACATTTATCTGAAAGCTACCTTATTTCAGATAAATACTAGAGTAAAGCTATGCACTGGTTCTTTTGCATAGAGGTTTTACTAGTATATTAATACCTGTAATTATTAAATCAGATTATAGGGCCACATTCTGTTTTCACATGCAATCTCTCAGCTGTACGGCTAGCACCAACTCATATGCACACCGATCAGAGCCTGGAGCAGGTCCTGGGTGCATATTTAGGTATCTGTTTACAAGCATTAAATCTATCTTTACGGGGAAAAGAACCCAAACAAACAGGAAAACCAGATTAAAACATAATAGGAACGAACAATATTTACCAGCTGGAAAAAAGGGAAATGAAGCCATTTTAGGGCTATGGCGGCTTGTCTCTGCCAAATTTAAAGGGACAGCTGCCAGAAAGGGATGCTGGGAAAGGGTTTTTGTTATGAGCTGGGTTAAACCTTGTTATGGGTTGAGTTAAAATTGCATTAAAAACCCACGTATGAGCAGGCCCTCTACTTAAGATAGTTGTGAGACAGGTAAGGGACCATACCTAAAGCAAGGTCTCATAGAGTGTTTGGAAACTAGGGACCAGAGGGCAAAGGGGAGGGTTCCAGTGTGTATTGTAACCAGGTGGGGCTGGGTGTATCTGTGAGAGAAGATACACACACCAGCCCAGATCCTCAAAGGTATTTAGGCTTGTAATTCCCAATGACTTCAGTGGGAGATAGGCACCTTTGAGGAACTGGCTGACAGAGATAGCTGGAAAAAATCTGAGTAGAAGCCTGTAAGCACAGCGTGGCCCAGAACCCTAGAGAGAGAGCCTGGGTCAGGGTGCGGGCTGAAAAGAAAGCACTCATTTTGATTTCGGTTCCCCCTGCATTTGCAGAAGCAAGCCTTTGTGCATTCCTTGTAAATACACAAGATGGCATTAAATAAAATACCAGACTCCATCATCAGTTTCTGCTCCTCTCTGGAACACCCCAAGGGCTACTTTGCCTAGCCTCTTGCATCAAAAAAGAGCAATAATTCCTGTAAGACAGTAAGCCGCCAGTGTTGCATCTCTCAGCAGGCATGAATCAGTCACTAAGAGGGCATGCATCCGATGAAGTGAGCTGTAGCTCACGAAAGCTCATGCTCAAATAAATTGGTTAGTCTCTAAGGTGCCACAAGTACTCCTTTTCTTTTTTCACTAAGAGAGGTTCTTTTAGGGAAGGTGGCTGCTTTTCTTTCTCTCTCTCATAACCATTGCAGTTATATGTGCTGTGATACAGTATTCAGTGATTGCTGAATAAAGGATTTTCTCTCTGGAAGTTCAGAATGTTTCACTTATTCCTTCTGCTATGCACCCTTTTCTCTTCCCTACCTTGGTTCTGGTTGAAGGCCTAATTAGACTCTTAAACTGGAACTTTTTTTTGTATCCACTTCTACCTTAAAATGTCAGGGAGCTTTTCTGTGTGCCTGAAATAAGTTTGTAAATAGTGTGGCTTTGTGTTACTTACATCAATCTATTATGGCTCAGTAAATTAATACTAGATTTAATATACTGAAGCCAAAATTACAGCATTGTCTGTGACAATGTTTTACTAAAGCAAGTAAATTACCTTGTAATCAAATGTGTTTGCACTGTGAGCATGTTAAATAAAGCGGAATATTTTGCTGTTAAAAAAAAAAAAGACTGATTTGATCAAAAATATTTTTGTCTGTATGGAACGCTGGCTATGATAACATTTCCATAGGAACTAGTAAGTGGTGCCATGTAGAAGATCATTATTTGTAGTAACTTCATAACATTATGAAAGCATATGAACAAAGGGAAAGAAGAAGGTCTGTGAGCTGAAAACTTCTAAGGCCTCGATGGCGCAAGTTGTTCTATGCACAAGGCCCCCTTGACTTCAGTGGGAACTTGCAAAATCAGGGTCTAAATCTGAAAAGTTACCATTATTATGATGCTCTCCTGGGATGTGGGAGATCCTAGTTCAATTATCTCCTCTACCTGTTGGGGAAGAAGGGATTTGAATGGTAGTCTCTGACCTCCCAAGTGAGAATCCTAACCACTGGATCCAACCCTTAGAATATCCCAGAGCACTCACCGGAGACGGGAGAGGTTCTTGTTCAAATCCTTTCTCCATCATCAGGCATAATGGGGAATTGAACCAAGGTTTCCCACCGAGAGGGCCTTATACTGCCCCTACTTCATCCAGTGCAAAGGGGTTGTGTACGTTAACAGATTAACCACATGACATTAGAAAATATAAACTACGATTGCTGGCCCTTCGCAACCAATTTCCAAACACCAGTAATGTAAAACAATGCAATAGCCTTTGGAATTCATGTGGGTTCCTTTCAACAGCTCTGTGTTTTGGGCTCTGAGTGGGGAATCAAACAGACTGCTCCCTCATCTTTGCATCTGATTGCACCCCGTTTCCAACAAACATCTTATTACTTGTGGCAAGATTATCCTTCCTGGTGAATATTTGGGGAAAGTGCAGGGATAAGCAGAGTGGCCAACCCCACGCCAAAAATGATGAATCAGGCCTTCAAAAAGTCATTACAAATCATGAAATGTTGCAAAAAGAAATGTCAGGTACATTTCCTTTGCTTTCTGGTTTCTGAGCCCTTGGGGGACACTTGGGTCACATTTTCAAGTTTCTCTCTGCAACTACAAGGGTTAGAAATTTACTTTTTTTTAAAATGGAAGTTGAGATACTGATGTTATTCCTTCATTCCCACAGCGGGGCCTTTAAGAACTCCCCCCAATCCCAATAATGAGATGCTTGTGGTAAAAATCATGAAAGCTGGGAACACTGGATTGCATGGCTGCGAGGGACCGCAGATACGGGCATGGTATAAGCACCTCCAAAATGTTCAGAGTTCCTATTATCTGCCGCATGTCTAAAATTTGGGATGCTTATCTGAACTCAAACTTTAAAATGGGATTGCCTTCGCTCTTTTTTTGGTAACAGTGGCTTGTTGTTTAGCTAATGCCTTTCTAAAGGCCCCATTGTGAAAAAAAATAATGGCATAATCCCAATGCACTTTGAGATGAATAAATTATGGATGCAGATCACAAGCAAGGTACAGTACAGCCTTTTCTCTCTCTGCTGGTAAATGTATCTGCATATCACAAACTTGAACTTCAGGATCTTTACGCAGTCCTAGATAAATATCACCTACGAACAGTCTCATATCCCATCATGGAGAAATGAGACTCAACTATAGACATAGATTACCACAGTCCACACCCTTTCTCCTTCCCACTGTCAATGCAAGATCAAATGCAGTCTCAGTGTATGAATAGCTGGCAGTTATACAGTGTTTTGGAGTGACTAACACCTCATTGGCAGAGCTGCTGGCATATGCACAGCTGTCAGGCTCACTGACTTATTACAGTTCCAGACCTTGATGACTCTGCAGCATTTGCTCACTAACCGAGAGTCCTTTGCACAACCTGTAGCTGAGAAGGGGAAAAATTCGTCCTAGTGCAGCCTGATTACATGCAGAGGCGCTCCAGAAACAGGAAATAACAAATCAAAGAGAACAGAGGAGTCAAGTGAAAGTCAGATTCCTAGCGTCGTCGGCCTCACTACATGAAATGGAGTTTGCTTATGCGCTGCTGGTGTTAATATTGGCAGTTTTCATTGCTGCTTTCATATTGTTAGTCGTGGGGACAATTTATTTTGATTTCTCCAACTCAGAAATCCCTCTTGGAGTGGACCAGCCTGTAAAGCTCCGAATCGTTCACAGTATTTTGATTGGCACAGCGGTTCTGGTGAGTTTACCTTGTCTGACACTAAGGTGGGGTGCTTAGGTGAGCCTGTAAATGTCACTCTAAGCATAATGCAAATGCCGGGAATAGGAACCCTGCCAGATGCCTTTACTTGCGGTGAAAGAAAGATGCTACTTTTATGCTTTTTGGCTGTACTTAGGAAGCAGTTTCTCTAAGTCTCTGTCAGACTCTTTACCTTTGTAGCGTGTGTACAGTCAGATTCTGCTTGGCTCGTAAGGTGGTACCACCTCGTGGGGTGCAGTGTTGCCAGCCCCAAAAGATTCAAAAATCATGAATCAGGCCCTAAAAATCATGAGTTTTTTCTTTTTTTAAAAAAAGACGATAAATGATGGGCTGCTTTTGTTCCACCCCCCGGGTCCCAGAGCCTTTAGGCTGCACTTGGGTCATGTTTACAATTCACTCTGCAACCATGAGGGCTAGAAACTTTGTTTTTGAATAAAGGCTGAGATTCTCATGAAATCACAGAATCTCAGGAGCAGGGGCTCTGAGCAAAACACTGTGTGTTGTGAGAGTCGTGAGAAAAATCGCGACATTTGGCAACACTACATGGTGAGGAACCTTTCCTTGCTCCAGACCACATGCAGAGCCTGCCGCAGGGCCAGGCAGAATTGCACCCCCAGCACTCTGGGGAGTGCAGGGTCACTTCCAGCGCTATTCTCCCAAGGGCATTTGACACACTGAAGGGGACAGGCAGGAACCAGAGCCATGGCTCTGCCCCCTCTATTAGCTGGCCAGTTGTGTGGAGAGGGGACATGAGGGATTAGGGATCTACTAATTCCTCATCCCTTTATGTAGCAAATTCAAGGCATTTTTTCCTTGCTTTCAATTATTTCCATCAATACATCTCCTGTCTGATCTCTTTTAATTTTTTCATTCATACCATCACTCTACCCATTACTAGAGCTAGTCAAAATTTTTCAGATGAATGTTATTTGTGAATAATGCAGTTTTGAATCACATTCACGAATCTGTGACAAATTTGCAGAATAGTTTTGGCCAAATAAATTAAACTGAAAAAGTCAAAATGCTACATTTCAACATTTTCAAAACAAACTGTCTTGATATTTTCATTTCAAAATGACTTTTGCATCAAAATTTGCCGAAATTTGTCTTTTTTTATAACAGGATTAAAGAAAACTCAACACTGCAACAAAATATTTTGTTGGACCCAAAACAGACAATTTTTTAAAAAAACAAAACTTTTTTGTTTTGGGGCAACCCACAATGCTTTTTTTAAAATTTTTTTATTTAGTAGATTTGGAGAATAATTGATCACCATCCTCTTTATAACAGCCCTTAACATATCTGAAGACTGGTATCAGGCCCCCCTTCAGTCTTTTCTCAAGATTAAATATGCCCCCTTTTTTTAAACCTTTCCTCATAGGTCAGAGTTTCTAAACCTAACATTATTTTTATTGCTCTCTCTGGACTTTTTGCTATTTATCCACAACCTGGCATCCAAAATTGGACACCTACTTTATCTGCTTCTCACCCACACATCTCCAGGTCTCTTTGATGCCAGTAATGCCCATTCCAAACATTCACCAAACCACCACTCTCCCCTCATCTTAGTTCCTCTTAAAGCCTCGCTTGTATTTTGAGGTGACATCAGCAAATCCTCAGCCCCAGCCTTGTCCCCCAGAAATGTGCATCTTGCATTGCCAAGCTCCCCCTCCTCCCGGACAATACAAGCTCATAGAAAGTCCAGTCATTTCATCAATGGAAAATTATATGCACCAGTCCTGTTATCTCAAGTGGAGGTTCCCAAACACTTCAGTCCCACCACACTGCTTTAGCTAAAACAATAAAACAAGTTTATTAACTACAGAAAGATAGATTTTAAGTAATTACTAGTAATGACACATACAAGTCAGAATAGATTACAAAGAAAATAAAAAGATAAGCCACAAACTAATACCTAAGTTAGCAAGTTAAATGGAGTCAAAGAAAAGGTTTTTCTCAACGTATGCTCTGTAGTCTTTACTGGCTGGAAGCCTCCAGAAAAGGACTCCTCCCCCACTTCAGTGTTTCTTCAGGCATTGTTACTGCCGTGAGCAGAGAGAAATGGAGGAGAGGTAATCTGTGTTGTGTGTGTTTTCTCTTCTTATGCCATTCTCCCCTCTTTGAGGATTATCTCCAGCTGGGGTTCAGGTGACACCCAGTCTGTTTACACAGGAACCCGCAGTTGTTCCATTGTCAATATGTAAAATTCTCACACACACCCTTCTTCCTGCCAAAGAATGGCTGCTTAGCTAGCTGATATTCCACTTGATTTTGTTGATACCAGATGTTGGTTTGTCTTTTGTTTCTGAAGAACTGGTTTATGCCTGCTGTTCTAAACTTGGAGCATGTTACAGCAATGTTATAAAATAGAATCTTAACTTTTCATACAATGTTGATTCACATATTTTACCAGGACAATAAGGTTCAGCAGATTATGAGTTTTCAAATGATACCCCACGAGGCATATTTTGTACAAAATATATCATGGTCTTGTAAAAGTGGTGAACATCGGGGTACAGTCTGTCACAGTAACTGAGCGTTACTTTATTGCTGTTATCAAATAGAAACTGAACCACAGGGAGGAAAAAGCCAGACAGATGTCTGTCAGTAATATCTAGTCAATGTGTGGCGTGCAGATCAGTATGGCCAGTCAGTTGTGTCAGATTTCTAAAGTGATTTCAGCATGGCTATAGATTTGGATAGGGGATAGACCATCTCTTTTACAGCCTGTAAGAAGTGAGTGAGTGTGCAGTGAGGGTTGTTACATTGGGAAGATTAATTTCCTACACTGGTTACAGACACTAGAATCCATTCCTTATTTTTACCTACTATCTGGATGGCAAACTTCTCTGTAGACCAGTATGGTTTTCACCCTGCTTTTTTTTTTTAAGGGTGGACCAGGTGATTGGTAATGGGGTACATGGTAGAATCCTTTGCTTCTAATTGCTGGTATCATGAAAAATCATTGTAGCCTGAAATCTGGTTGATGACCTCTTCTCTCAGTCCTTGTGGATGAGCGTCCATATCAAGAAAACCACCACTACAGTTGTTACCTGTCTGCACCCTAGGTGGAACTCCTAGCAGAAGAACTAAGGACTGAATAACCTATGGAGACCAAACTCTCCAATAAAGGGCAGAGGACCAATGATAACACAGTGTGTGAAGACGGCTGCATAGACATGGTCTGTGCTTCATTTCTCTGTGTGCTGCTGCTGTTATTATTAGTTTATTTATTCGGATTGTGCTCGTGCCTGGAACTCTATATTCGTTGTTTTTTTTCTGTATGAGCTCCAGACTTTTGATCCTGCCTTAGTTTCTCCAAAGAGAGCACAGCTTATGCCTATTGAGGAGAATGGAGTTTCTTTATGCTAATCCCTGGTCTCTTTCACTCTAAACAGGGGAAGATTTTGGAGAAGCTGGGTCTGTGCAGTCAACTTGGCTTCACCCGCTATATGCGACGGGGAAAGAAATTAGGGGAGGACCCAAAGCTCTTCATGAAGGACCTGCAGTTTGGGAAGGTGCCAGTGAGGATTTACCAGCCTAGAGTGCCTTCTGCTGGCCGAAGGAGAGGAGTCCTCTACTTCCATGGAGGAGGCTGGATGTTTGGAAGCATTAGTAAGATATTTAACAGAAAAAATATGATGGATAATTAAAGATAAAAAGTCACCCTATTTTTACAAACATCAAAGGGAAGTTGGTTTGGGCCTGAGATTTGGGAGAACATTTGAGATTTGACTCTTCACCAACAAATACACACATACTCTGTCAGGTAGGTGTTGGCTGCAAGAAGAGAGGACTTGTTGAACATTACATGGCTGTTCCAGAGAGTGGGGCAGCTTGGAAACAGGTGCGATACCATGATGAGCAAAGGGGACAGTAAGAAATGAAGCTGGGGTGGTGTGTACAGGGTGGGGAAGAGCAGGGATTAGATGGGGGAAAGGAGAGAATTGTCATTTTTCTTAAATGCGTCACAGAGCTAACAGGGTATAGAATTGCTACTCCTTAGAGCGCAAGCCAAACACCAGTGAAAACATTTGTTTTCCAGATGCCTATGAAACTGTGTGCCGCTATATCGCCAGAGAAAGTGAATCGGTGGTCATGTCTGTTGAGTAAGTCAGCCTGGTCCACTTCTATTCTATAGGAACTAGTTGCTCTACATTGTGATAGCCATCAGCTGCACTGCTTCTAGAGTGCCTCCCTTCTCCGAGGACTATATTTTCAAGAATCCAGGTGGCTCGGCAAGATGCGCAAGTTGACTATGATTTTGCTGCTTTTCGCTGCTTTTGTGCTGAGCTAGACAGAATAGACCCAGAATAAGATTGTTGTATATGAGCACATTTTGTCATCTGCTGGGGGAGAAACACTGGAAAGAAGTTATCAGATCATTTTAATAAAAAACAAATCTGTCTTGCACCCAGCAATTAACATAAAGCTGTCAGATATTGAGCCAAATCTTCATCTTAATCCGCAGACTCCCATTGAGGCCCTGAGGTAAATGGGGAATTTTGCCCTCAATAAGAAATAAGAAATATTTGTATGTCCATAGCACCAAGAGTAAAAATGTTGTTGGAGAACAGTAGCACTTATTAGAGCTAGGTATTAGGATTATAGGCATCAACCAAAACTGGGGTCACATGATGCTGATCACAATATAAACACAGCAAGAGACTGTCCCTAACCCAAAGATCTCACAATCTAAATAGATAACACGGACAAAACAAGTATTATTAATCCCCATTGTACGGATGGGAAACAGAGGATAAAAAAAGAGATTAAATGACTAAGCCAAGGTCCCTCAGGGAGTCTGTGGCACAGCTCTCCTGAGTTTCATTCTAATGCCTTAACCGGAAGACAATCCTCAGCATTTGGCCCTGCTGGTTATAATTTATCTGTGATCTGCAAATATAGGAATGATCGTTTGGAGAGCGGGTGCACGTTTATGAAGTAATATTGATGTCCATGGCTGCAAAATAACAGGAGGGCTGAAAGTGGAGGAGTTTGTAGCAAATAAACTTCCAACAAATAATGATTTTTTTCCATTTTTATAAATCACCAATTCTTTGATATATTAGGTATCGTCTGGCACCAGAGCACACGTACCCAGCACAGTATGAGGACTGTCTCACTGCTACCACCTGCTTTATGAAGACTGCAGAAGACTATGGAGTGGATCCTGCCCGTATTATCATTAGTGGGGACAGTGCTGGGGGCAATCTTGCTGCTGCTGTTTGCCAAACACTAGTGAGTAGACCAGACCTTCCAAAGGTGCATGCTCAGATTTTGATCTATCCATGCCTCCAGGCAATAGACTTCGATTTGCCATCATATCAGCAAAACTGTGGAGTTCCCATCTTGTTCAGGGAACGCATGGCTTTTTATGTTCTGCAGTACCTCAAGGGGGACGCATCATTTTTGGAAGATGTCCTGGAGGGTTCCCATATGCCTGTAGACGTAAAATTGAAGTTTAGAAAATGGCTAAGTGCAGACAATATCCTTAAGGAATTTAAGGTCAGAGGATACAAACCAAAGGTGCCCATCGAATGCTCAAATGAAGTTTATGAGGCACTTAAAAAATTTTGTGAGCCAGCTTTTTCCCCACTTCTCGCTGAAGATGCTGTTGTTCGCCAGCTCCCTGAGTCATTCATCTTGACCTGTGAGTATGACGTGCTTAGGGATGATGCCCTGTTATACAAGAAGCGATTAGAGGACAGTGGTGTGCCAGTGACCTGGTACCACATTGACAATGGATTCCATGGAATCATAAGCCTGTTTGATAATGGCAGGTTGTCATTTCCAGCTGGAAAAAAGGGACTGGACAACATTGTAAACTTTCTCAGAAGCTTATAAAAACCAATCTTCTCAAAGATTGGGTCGTATATTTCCTCTGGTCTTCATATATGCCCCAACGTCTGGGAAGAGACCTATAGGAACAGTATCTTCTATCACATGATGGGCTGCCATGACATGGTTTCCATTGGTGATGAAGTTCACGAGCTTGTGTGAAGTCCCTTCTGTTACTGGTTGGAATGTTGATTACACACCTACATATTTGAAATGATTTCTTTGCATCATGCTGCAAGCTATTGTCTTTATAAATATCAGTAAAGATTAAAGAATACTATTTGTAATTGATTTTCTGGTTTGGCCCATTTGATTCAATGAAGGCCTGACTGTTAATCCTTCCATGGAGAGAGATGGTGTGTGTGTGTCTGAGTGTGTGTAAGTAAAAGTACACACCACCTACATCACAACATTATGATGTAAAGTCCGTGCACTGCAGTACTTTTGGAGAGCGGTACCAGCATCCAACTTACATCCAGTTGCAGTAGTGAAACCCTTGGTCTTTCATCTTCTGCAAATTTAAGGGTTCATTATGGATCATGGAATATTTTTCATCTCAGTCCAGAATATTACTTATATTGCATTACACAAAGATTAGCCAAACATTTTGTGAATACCTCTTTTTATTTTGCCCAGTATGCCACACCTGTAAATAGAATGAAACCTGAAAAAAGATCATTGTTGTCCGTCTAATGTGCCCACCAAAGTCATGGCGCCATGAAGTAAACATCCTTGCTACATCCCTCTACAGAAACATCAGAGATGTTTCTGCTCTTCCATTTAACAATACTCCACCACTTTTCAATAAGATACAGTGTTGTATCAGTTTAATCTCATGTTCTATTAGGGAACTAAAATCTTCCCTTATAGTGAAACATACTTGATGCTTTGCCTGCACTGTTTTCTCTTTCACTTCCATGAGTAAAAGATGTTCCTCCTTATGGAAAAGTTCTATAGAATCTAGTAGGAAATCACAACCTTTTTAGGAACCATCCTATCAAATCTAGTTAATTATATCCCTGCTATTGAATTTTATAAGATGGTTACAAAAACTCTGTAGAAAGGATAATATTTTTGATTTTGGGGGGGGGGGGTTTCTAGAGTAATTTCTACAAACACCTGATTAATTTCTGTTGTAATCCTATTGGCTGTATCCCTACTAAATTCTACAAGTGTTCCTTAAAGCTAGTCCCATTGCTCTGTCCAAATTTCAACTCCAGTAATTATGTCCAGTAAATATGTCCTTCCTACTCCGTCTTTGTAATGTACAGCACTGTTGGACTACTTTTTTTTTAAATTACCTTATGCGGAGTGTAAAAATCCAGTCCTGCTCCAATTGAAGTCAGAAACAAAAATCCATTTATCTTCAATGCGGCAGGAGCCTCTCTCTCTTAGCAGTAGGATCTGCTGTTGCCTAGAGAGTGTTTGCATCCATTGACGATCACCATGGAGGCAGCAAACAATGGCAATTCCAAGGCAGGGGAGTTCCACACATTAACCATCTCGCCCTGCACACAGGCAGAGGGAAGCATAGATTCTGTTCTGCCTGATCTCTGCTGCATGAACACAGAACCACCATTCACATCCCAGAAGGGGAAGGGCAGAGGAACCTTGATTCTGCAGGAGTGGATGGGAAAGGGTGCTGCTGAGTCTAAGAAGCATGCTTACATCTCAGAGGGATGTGAAGGAATCTCCCAGCTGGAACATCAAACCAAAGTACTCCACGAAAGTGCTCATTGGAAACTGGTTGGAAGAGAGGAAAAAGGTAAGAAGGGATAAAAGAAAAGGGAGAATGGGAATGGAGAGGGTCAGCCCTGATGCTCTGGAGATGATCAACCACCAAACTTTAGGGAAGTTTGGATCCAGGCCCGTTTCAAAAGAGGAACAAAGGCAGAACACTGGGTGCCTTGACCACAAAGTTCACTGGCCTGCTTCCATTCATTCTAGTCAGGAGGTAGTTTTTCCCACTGAGCCACTACTAAAGCAATGCCCAAGCATGACGGATGCCCAGGGATGTGGTGTAGATGGAGAGGTTCTTACAGACAACACATAGAGCGATGGTCTTGACAACTTTGGGCCATTAAAGATTCCATGGCACTTCTCCCAAGACCAGGTACGTTCACTCCAGTTTTCCGGTTCACTTGCAGTTGTGTAATTAAGTTCTGTCTACCTCCGATTCCCCAGTGCTTTCAGGTGGATAGGAGATTCTTTCTCTCTTTGTCCTGCACTGTTATTGGGTGCTGTAGAAAGGCATCCAGTCAGGGGCAGCTGTATTTCAGTGGTGGGTGCAGACAACCCTGTACTAGCATGTATACTTTGTAACCAGCTACTAAAATCTGTCAAGTGCAATGCGGTCATTGTAATGGTCATTCATTATTTTTATTGAATTCTGCTTTAGCACAGCTTTGTTCTCACAGCGAGGCAGCCAACCCCTGCAATCTTTCTTCTTTGATCAGGAAACCAGCTTAGTTCATAATGACACATCAGACGTGTTCTTCCTGGGGGGTGAAGCAATGCCCTATTTTAAATAAACATGTTTAAGTTTTACTGAGTGCCAAAGACCTTTTTTTTTTTAAACTTTAGATCCTTTTACTTTGGGATACTAGCAATTGTTTATGTTCTTCATAGTCAGCCTCTTTCCACACATATGGTCTGTAGAAATTATCTTATATTTAAGTGACACTTTTTATATCAAAGTATCTCAAAGTAATTTACAAATGGAACAAATTGTATATAGAGATATAGCCTACATTGTAAGCTCTGTGAGACAAGGACTGTCTTTACCCTGTTTGTAGAGGGCATAGAAAAATGGGATCCTAATCTTGGCTGGGGTCCCTACACACCACTGTCATACATAAAAATAATATATACCCACCACTAAACTGCAGCCACCTCAGTGTGGGAACACAGCAGCTGTTTAATAGCACACACCAACACTGTTCAACAAAGACCTGATTACTCTTCTCCTTCCACAAACTGCTCCAAGTAGCACCCCGATCTCTTTATAAAAAGTGCCAGGGGGACTGGAATGACCACAGTTGTTCTGGATGTTGGTTTTACATGTCAGGCAAAGACCAGCAAGACCAGCAGCACAGTGACCCATTACACCACGCTGATCTTAACACTGGCTCAGTATTGATTCAGAGAGAACTGTCTCCTTTTAAAATCACTCAAACTCCTTCCGGCAGCCCCCCACTATTTCCTGGAATTGCAGCCAAAGTCTCACTCAGCCGGACACCACTTATCTTATGAGATCTGATAGGATCACAATGGGAAGAGATCTTTGATGGGTATAGACATTATACAGGGAGAGGAATTATTTAGGGTGTTGCCTGGCGGTATAAAATAGGAGGAAATGAAAAAGGGAAAATGTAGGTTGCAGATCAGGAAACACTTCCTGAAAGTGAGATGTTTTAAACCATGAAATAATCTCCTCAGGGAAGTGGAAGAGGTCTCCCTACTTGGGATTTTTAAAACTAGACTGGACAAAATCCCAGAAGATATACTGTAGGGAACAATCCTGCACTGGGTGGTAGATGTACTGAGGATCAAAATGAAAGTTGATCATTTCCTTCCAGTAGCTAAGCCTGCACTAGGTGAAAAGGTGTGGCACCAAGGCATTGGTGAGCTTGTAATGTCCACACATAAGAACCATCCCAGGATTTTTACAATGACTGGTTTTACTGGTTGATTGCAACATCTGAGCCAAGGTCTTCAGGGTAGAAGACCCTGCAAGCAAGAAGTGCCTCCCAAGTGTGGACAGGAAGTCATTAGCATCGGGGCTTTAGGATTCTTTGTCATGAGAGCCCCTGGGTAAATCTGCCAGACCTGTTCATTTTAATTCAGTTGTTCCATTGATCTTCAGAAGGGCAAAGGGAGACATTTTCAAAGCCACATGCGAGTCACACAACTCAGTGGGAGTTTGACGCTCTAGTAAAGTGGTCATTAAGGGATTAAATGGGTTACCAGAGTACAACAGGTCGGAGCCATGTTCTATCCCTCCCTTCCTGTTTAGCTAGCGTGTGTTTCCTCCCACTCTGTTTGTAGATAGTTGAATAAAGCAGCACAGTTGTGACGAAGCGGGACTGTTCTTAATGTTTTCTCTGAATATTGTGGGGGTGTCTCAGTTTCGCCTAGGCAGTTCTTAAGTATCTAGGTGGTGGGATAAGGGTGTATGATCGTTGCAGAGCCCTAGAGGGCAGGTGTGTGCAGGGGTCTGGACACAGAGAATGGCCGACACCCTGTTTCCTGGCAAATGATGGCCTGGCCCTTCCCCCCCTGCAAGGTGAGAGCTAAAGGGTTGGAGAAGAAAGGAATCAGGTGACCTCCTGGGCCGGGAAAGGGACAAAGCCCAAAGGAGGAGGGGCTGGAGAGAGTTTCAGTTTCGGGCTGGGTGGTCGAACACAGGGAACCCCAAGGCTGGGTTCTAAGCTCCCTGCCCCCCAGAAGGACTTGACTGAGGGGTCCTGGTTGTACCCATAAGCTCTGTTTTAGACTGTGTTGCTATTGTCCAATAAACCTTCCGTTTTACTGGCTGGCTGAGAGTCACGGTGAATCCCAAGAAGAGGGGTGCAGGGCCCGGACTTCCCCACACTTTGTGACAACCGGTTTTTACCTATAGTACTGTAAGTAAAGTGAGTTGGCTGACAGCGAGTGGTCCCTGTAGAAAAGACACCTAACTGCACTTTGGGCCTTTGAAAATCTCTCCCAACGAGCAGTTGTTTCAGTGTGAATAATTGCTACATAGCGAGTGTCTCCTTTTGGATCTCTTTTAGTTTATAAAAGACATTGGGAAACCCAGCAACAGCATCTATGGGACTGACTTTATTTGCTTCCCTGACCACAGAACAGATCGAACAGTGAGGAGAACAATTATGAAGAAACTTGATGTAAGTAAAAAAAAAAAAGGGGGGCCTCAGGACTTGACTATACAGAGGTTTAGTACTCGACAAGCTGGAGTGTGAATCTACAGTGCACCAGCCTACTGTGAGCTGAATGGTCAAACGACCCCTGCTACCATGTGCTAAAAGTTCGGTAGTATGCTTTCATCTGCTGCTGTTTGAAACCACAGGCTAGAGGACTGTAGATTTACACGCTGGCTTGCTGTGCACTAAGTGGCCATGTAGACAAGACCTCAGATTTAAGATTGTAAATGTCAGCATTCAAAACAGGCATGTATTAAATTTACGATTAAAATCCTGCCCAAGTGTGTGTGTGTGCGTGTCCAGGGGAAGGTACAGAGTGATAGTGGCCAAGTTAGGGCCCCCAGAGCCATCCTGCATGCTGCTTGCAGAAGAGGGAGAATACAAATTCCACAATGCTTCTTGCAGCTCCCCGCAGTTCCTGTTGTTAACCCCAACATGTGTGCACGGGGAATAGGATGCGTTTCCCCCAGCAGAGTGCCTGGAATGGATCCTGCACTGCTGGATCACAGATGTGCACATGGAAGAGGCTCCTTATGCCCTCTTCTCACCAGTGCACCCCCATGTAACAGGAAAGGATGTTGCACTAAATGAGGCCCAGATCCTCCAGAATGTTAGGGTTCTCCCCACCCCCTACAATGTCTCTTCCTTCAAAATGTCCCCATCCCCAGACACCTTGATTATTTCCTCCAGATACATGTATGTGTGTGTTCATGCCCCAAAATACTTTGGTAACACGTGAGGATCAGTTTTTCAATTGCATACCCCACTGCACCTGCAAATGCCTGAATGTGTGTGTGTGTGCAAAGCTGCTAACTATGTACCTGTTTTGCAAGTGCAAAAGCAGGGGTCTGTTGGGGATTGGGTTCTGACCCATATTTGCCAGATCACCTGGGGCGCAATCTGACCTAACAGTCTCCAGCACCTTTTAAATGCTCTGCCCATACAAGCAATATGGTTTCGTGGACCTCTCTTTACAGGGCCTGCCAAAGCAGCATCTGTTTATGCATCATGAAGAACCGAACAACCGAAATTTAGTAACTCAATACGATGATCATTACAACAGACATGGCTATAATCCTGTGTTGCCTCCGCTCCGTAGATGGAATGGACAAAAGCTAGCCTGGCTCCCGGAGAAATCAGATTTCCCCATTTTCGGTACTTTTTAGTGTTATCCTGGTAGTCACTCACAGGCAGAGGTGCAGTCTGGTCTAGTGGTCAGCATTCAAGCCTTAGGAGTCAGAGGCCTCACTAAATTCTAACCTTTCATCTCCAAATGGCTTGCTGTATCCCTTAGGCCAATCACTTACCCACTCTGTGCCTTGCCCATCTGTAAAATATAAATAATAATAATTAATACTTATCCACCACAGAGGAGAGTAGTGAAGTTTAGTTAATGGACCAAACTTTTCTCCCATGTGCAACAGTGCAACTCCCAGTGAAAATAACACTGGTGTAACTGCTAGAAGAATTTGGCCTATGTTTGTAAAATTCTTTAAAGATTAAAAGTGCCTCAGACTGAGTGCTAAGTGTTATGAACAGACAGGGAAGACTCTCTGTTCATTTCCCATTGCATAAGCACAAAGTCATTAATGTCCTGTCTAGTGGTTAGAGCCGGTTAGGAACATCTGAATTTGTGGGTTGAAGTACCCCAAGCTTCATTCTGAGTTTAAGTGCTTATGGTTGAATGGGCACCTGCCTAATACACTTGTGGTTTCAGGGCAAAATTTTCAAAAGTCCCTAAATGACTTGGGAACGTGAGTGCCATTTTGATGTAGGAATGGGAATTAGGTGGCTAAATACCTTTAAGGATTTGGGCCTTAGAAGCCTAAGTATCGTTAAGTGTCTAAGTCACTTTGGCTCCTAAGTCATTCAGGTGCTTTATAAAATTTTACCCATATTCTAGTAAATTGGTTCAGTTACCCAGAAATATTGTGAACTATGGATTTAAATGTTAAATGTAATTCCAGTAATTTTTGTATGCACCAGAGGATGTACCTATATACCATTGCGCTCGACTGGATGGACTCGGAACTGCTCGTCTGTGTATCATAGCTCCTTCACTGTCAACAGCTAGCAGTGCTTCTCCTTCCACTCAAGGAGTAAAGGTTTCTGGTTGTGGAAGAAGAAGGTCTGAATTCTGTCCTCGCTGTTGTCACGAAGTTCTGAATTAGCCCCATGTGCCCTGAGTTATGGAAACCCTAGTGGCCATGAATTTGTTTCTATTACTGTGACATTTCATCATTGTTTTTTCCAGAACCACCCACCAACTATGGCCTTTTTGAGCAACTAATGAAAAAATGGACCCACCAAGAGGCAGGAGTGATGAACAGTGTCTACACTGTTTCTTATGAGATGCCACCTGTTTCTGCTTTTGCCGTTCGCCGACGTCCGGTCACAAATGGCCACCGGTCCACTCCGCGATGGGTAGCGTCTTCCCCACAACCTCCGTGCAAGTCTGGAATGTGATGGCTCACCAAAATGCCTGCAAGCTCCTGAGCAGCCGGTCAGAGACACGGCAGCCATTGACGCCACACTGTACCATGCTTCTTGCCATACTCTAACTGCTATTTAAATACAACATGTTGCCCAAACACTAAGACGATTCTGGTCCATGCGCTATTGGCAGAAATAGGAATTAGGCTGTATAGAGGGAGTGGTGTCTACTGGTTGGAGCAGAGCACTGGAATGTAGGGTGACTGGATTACATTCCCAGCTCTGCCTTTGACCTGTGGCAACTCCACAGGGTGGACTTTGTTTCCCTTACTCGAATCAGACATCTGCATGATCTTTCTGTGCTGCTGTGAATGGCTCTGAGTTCACCTTTGTGCATCAGCTTTGCCTATGTACTGACAAAAGTCACCATCAGTCACTGCCTCTACTAAGCGAGTGACCTTATTCAATTTAGGGGTGGGTGTGGCCCTTCTGTGCCTCTCCCTTGTGGAAAGAAGCAGTAAGGTATATATTCCATATACAGGGAGAGTACCCTATATATTTACACACGTTACACATGAGGACTGTCATCTATGCCAGGGACCACTTTTATATTAGAGTGAATACAGGCTCGTTCATGAGCGCAATAGGTAAACCATATGCTGCTTCCATGGCATCTGCCTGTTTTGCATATTTTTGTTTTACCTGAGCATTTGTAAAATGGCGTAGGATCTTGGCCTACTTCATGGCTGTGCGTGTGGGGGTGGGTGAATAATGTTTATGAAGTGCTCTGAGATCATCAGCCTGGAAGGTACTATTACGTAAGTGCAAAAAGATCAAAACAAAGAAATCAACACAGTTCTGTTCAGGCTAGGAAGAAGTTGGGGTATTTGACTGGGATTTAATTAGTTTGCAATTTGTAATGAGTTTGACTCATGCCTACCAAAAATTCTAAGTGCTTAGTGGTTGCGTTAAAAGATTTGGGTGAATAAAATTTAGTCTTTCAGGATAAATGGGATTTGACTAACTCTTAGTCAGGCCTGTTTTGATTACATTTTGTACACTGTGAATTCAACCTGATCCCTCAAAGCCAGATTGTCCCATCCGAACTCACAGCTACGGAACTACTTGTGTAAGTGCTTGCCAGTGTGAGTAAGGCTGGAACAATCTAACCCTACCAGGAAATCATGCCAATCAACCCATTGCCGAGTAAGGTGTTATTTTGAATAAAGGGTGCAGAATCTGTGTCTCAGTCTTCACTTGCATTTTGCACTCAAGTACAATAATAACTTCTAAAGGGAGAAACTTGTGGCAGTAAAACTGTATCTGTTTAGATGAGCCTTCAAACTGGGCAGAATACACAAACTAAGTTTGTTTCCCTAAATTGGTTTACAAAGTTCATATAATTGTGTGCATGTGGGGTTTTTTCATTTGTTTGTTTAAAAACAAATTCAGTCACTTTTTAAAAGCAGAAATAAATCAATGCCTCCAGTTCAGTTTTCATGGGCAACCCTACAAAAACAAACTTAACAATAAGGAGAAAACCAGAGTGGGAGGGGGAGACCTCTTTAAAAGCTGTTGATTTAAACAGGTTTTTGTCATTAGATATATGGCAATTTCACTATCAACAACTTCATTGTCATGACAGGTGTCGTTATAAAGTGAGGCATCTCTATTTAGGACAGGTTTCACAATGGTAATGGTTTTATATAGTGTGTCCATTTCTCACTACTGCTCATTTCAGATTAGGGGACAGGCTGTTACAGATTGTGATATAACTATTAAATCAATCAACAAGCAAATACAAGGCTGTTTCATTTTACTGACCTAATTTTTTTAAGCGGGTCTGTGTGTCTGTGAGCGCGCACACATGCATGTTTTTCTGCATTTAATTTTTACCTTTCCTTAGAGATAGGCCCATACAGCAAAATCCTACTCCAGATTTTGAAACCTCAAAATTCAGGGATATCGGATCAGCCCCTCATAGAAAAGGAAGGTCAGCTGCAACATTAGGATCAGGGTCTAGGATTGGAATCCAACTCCTTCTCCCTTTGTTTAGGGATGATCAAATTTGGGGTTTTGGAGGTTAACATTTCTGGAGTGGGGAGGGTGACATGGTTAAGTAATAGTTATTGGTTTTGGAAGGGCACAAGGAGATGAGTGAAAAGGCCCAAGCTCTCCTATTACCATTTCTTCCGTGAGCACGAGTGGTGCCCAGAAAGGGAGGATTCCAGCAGGATACTACAAGAGATGGGCCCAAGCCACCACATCTGAAGTCCCCCAAAGTTCAGAGGTGTTCAGATCCTGGGTCTGGCGTAGACCCATTACCTAAGCTCCCACCAAGAAAGCACGTGGAGCATATAAACACTGTGCCATGGTCTCCAGAGCAGTCACTGGTGTGGCTGCAGTAGAAATGCACTGTGCAGCATGGGTGTTACCCTGGAAGGAGGTGTCTCTCTCCCGGCTTGCCTTTTCTTTTTCTCAAAATTCTATTTGTCTCGCTTCTGAGAAACTGGCAAGAAATCTGTTTTTTCTCAACCCCTCAACCTGCAAATATGTATAAACCTGTGAGACGACTGGATGCAAGGTGAACCAAGGTGGCTCTCAATACAATATGCAAGCAAACCTTCATGTGCCCTTGGCTGTAGCTTACTAAATGTCTCATGACATTTGCAGAGTAAGTCATGCTGCCTGGCCTTACGTTACCAAACACCGTAAACCTAGAAGACATCCCAGGAAGCGGCCTTTACATGGCACCTTGCTACTGTTTTCAGTTGTCGGTAAGTCTGCGAATGAGCTGCTGACAGACTAATGATACAATCCAGACGCTGTCATTCCACAGAGGTGCATTGAACTCACCCTTGCCCCTGAGGACAGAACTTAGCCCATACTGTGGTTCAGTTCAGACACAAGCTGCTATCTAGCCAGGACCCACCAATGCATTCGCAGAGTGAAATGCTAGAATAAGCTTTGAAATAATGCCAAATACCCGCACATTAGGGTTGCCAATCAATTATTTACCCATCCTTCCATGCTAGAGTATCCTTTCCCTGGAGGATCTCATTTATCGCAGTGGGTTTTTTTGCCATCGCTATCACACATTGTAAAAGTCAGATAGCCCACTGGGGAGGTTTACTGTGCATTAACATACTTTACAGACAGTAGTAGTAACTAAAAATGACTGAACGGATTTCAACCGTTTTCTCTATTAACCTGGCCTGGTGGCGTAGAGTGCACTGCTTCCCCTGGGTCTTTCCATAGACCTCAGGGGTGATTGGATCATGCCTCTTGTGGTTAGCACGGCTAAAACCTCCCTCCGTGTGATGCACATGGAGCCATCAGTCTTAGCAGGGTATGTAAGACAAACACAGGGCAGATACAGCTGTGTGACAAGGTTAAGGAGAATAGCACCTGTCCGCACCACCATCTGCTTCGTTTTATTTCAAATATATGTGTGTGCGCCTCATAACTTCCCTTTGAGGATTGAATTGATAGCCCGACATGAGAGGATTGTCTCTATCTTGCTTCACCACGAGCTGATGAAGAGACTTGGATTCTCATTATGGGTACCAATACCGATAATTAATTTTCAGGCAAGGGGCTCATGGCACTTTACAAACATTCATAATTTTGCACAAAACCATGTCACACAAGTTAGAATTTTGCAGGTAGGAACACTAAGCCACAAGTAACTTGCCCAAGAACGCACAATCAGTCAGGGTGGGAACCCAGGAGTCCTGGCTACTGCTCTTGACTCTGTGTGCCTGAAAAAGCAGATAACTTGCAACAAATTCTACTTACTTTAAAACGTATTTTAATCTTCTGTATCACAATAAGGCCCGATCCTGCAGACATATATGTGCTTAACTTTAATCACATGAGTAGAATCATACAATCATAGGGCTAGAAGAGACCACAGGGGTCATCTAGTCTAACCCCCTTCCAAGATGCAGGAGTAGTCCCATGAAACACCGTATAACCAATTCTTGCAATTTTATTGTGATTCTTATGATATTTGGTATTTTTCCTTAAAGCCCCAGCTCCTGGAGTCATGTGACCTCATGAGAGTCTGAGCTTTTATCTGAAAAAATATGAAGTTTCTAGCCTTCATGTTTCTGGCAAAAAGCTTGAAAATGTGAAGCCCAAGGGCTCAAGAAAGGATCCATGTGCTTAAAGTTAAGCACGTGCCCAAGTCTTTGCAGGGTCAAGGCCTTTGGACAACAGGAGTGGTGCTGAGATCTGGGCTGGGCCTCTACAAAGGGCTGAATTTTACCCATTATAATGTAGTTTTGTTTTTTCAGGTTGCATGTGATTTCAAACTCAGAACAATTTCTGAGACAACTGAAAAAAGAAAAGGAGTACTTGTGGCACCTTAGAGACTAACAAATTTATTAGAGCATGAGCTTTCGTGAGCTACGGCTCACTTGCTCACGAAAGCTTATGCTCTAATAAATTTGTAGTCTCCAAGGTGCCACAAGTACTCCTTTTCTTTTTACGGATACAGACTAACACGGCTGCTACTCTGAAATCTGAGCCAACTGAGTGACTGATACATTTGTTTTAGTCCCATCTGTGTAGAGCAACAGTGACATCTATTGGTAAAGTGCATATTGGCTAATCTATGTGAACATACCATAGTATTGCAGAGCCATACACAAGACAAGCGGGCTCAGCACAAGTCATGCATCCAGGGATCCGACAGCAGCATTGTTAATGAAATCCCTCTGAGCTAGAAGAGTCTTGATTAAATACATGAAGCATTAAGCGTCCTACTTTGCTTTTGAGTCCCAAGACTATCCAACCAGGACAATTTTAAAGAATGAGCATTAATATAGATGAGTGAGATTTCAGTGGTCACTGAAGCAACAAGCAATCCAGCAACATGCTGCGTCATAATAGCACTAGAAAAGTAACCTTAAAAGGAATCCAGAATAAGCTCGTCCCCTTCAAAGGAATGAAACACGTCATGTCTGGGATTCCTATACCCACAACCACATTTTGACCTGTAATTCAAGTAATGCATGCTATAGGTCACAACATGTGTAACTCCCGTTAATGATGGCACGATTGGTGTGCATCTCTACAGCAAAACTGAACCCATATATTCCAAATGCAGGTTAGACATGCATGCAAATGTATTCTTCATTAGCACTGTCCTACCTATTTGCTTGGAAACCTGGATATCAATCATTTATAAATATTAAACATTTATGATGAATGAAACATTGATGATTATTATCTGCAGTATGTATAAAACCAAAGCTTACACATGGGGAGAAATGCCCAGCTTGGGAATCATCAAAACACACAGGTAGAGCCCCATGAAACTTGCATGAAGAAATTCATTCTAAGCCTGTGATTAGAGAGGGCTGGGCTCCCTGCTGCACAGGTCGGAGCTAATACAATAACTGAGTCTTGTAAAATTAAAGTGTATCACCAGAAAACCCCAAAGAATCATATCATGCTGGCGGACTGGACGTGACATCTCTTCAAAATAATCTGCTTACAAGTGAAATATGCAAAAAACTACCAGGAGCTGCTAGTGGCGGTTGGGACTAGCCGGTAGCAAAGTATTTGCTTTTACAATATAAAGTCACTGCAAATGCTCAGCCATTTTCTTTTCACTTTAACAATGCAAACAGCATCCATGTGCCATTGCTGTTTAACGGTGGCTTGGTCTAGGACCTCAAGATTCCCGGCCTGTGTTGAACTCAGTCTGTGAATGCAGCAGAGCCAGGATTTTTCTGTCCTCAGGCATGATGGTTTCTATCCTCGGGCAAGATTCATTGGGCTTTGGATCAGGTCCTCTGGTGCTACCCAATGTCAGCAAGAGTGGCAGAAATAGGCTGTGATCAAGCAGCCCGCAGCCAACGTTGAATGAACACTCAGTTATCTCAGTCGCATTCCTCAGAACTCAAATAATCTACAGTGCAATATTCCAGAGAACACAGTACTGATAATCTAGTGACTCGGTTTTTGCTGTGATGCAGAATGAGCGACCTATATCGAGACAATTCCAGGCAGTTCCAGAGTACATGAAGGAAATTCCAAGCTCAACGCAGAGCTGCTGCCAGCATCTGTCAGCGCAGTACCTTTCTCTCTTTCTCCTTTGCCCCTGTATTCAGTACAGTTCTGTTGCAATTTTAGGCCAAGATCCAGCTAACTCTTGTGCATGTGAGTCATTCTGTGCACACGAGCGAAGTTAAGTATGTGCATAAGAGTTTGCAAGGCCCAGGGTCTTATATTACAGCTGTAATCTATTGCTGAGGTAGGACAGGCAAATATAAAAGATATCATGGAACTCTCTAATTAACATGCCCTTATCTTTCATGCTATGGGGCAAACAGTGAAAGTGTATCTAGTTGCTTTTGGTTACTATGCTGTTGGAAAGCAAAACATTTAAGTCATCATGTCCTCCCCTTACTGTGTCGAACACAATCACCTCACTCCCACACCTCCAGAAGTTAAAAAGCCTATATTCATTCAACAGGAAAAAGTTACAGATGATGTAATTGCGTCTTTGCTCTTTCAGCAGGTGATATTTTGACAAATGACATGGAAAAAAGGGAGAAATAAAAAATCTCATCATAAACTTTCGAAAAAGGAATGACAAGGCATTCTATACGTAAATGGAAAGGACAGTCTGGAGATAATATTAGAGATAATGGAATTGATTCTGGTTTGAATGGCATTTGCTTGAGATAATTAAGGATAGTTAAGTGCCAAGCAGGCTGCGAAGAGCTACAAAGGGATCTCACAAAAGTACGTGAGTGGGCAACAAAATGGCAGA